TTATTATTATTATTATTATTATTATTATTATTATTATTATTATTATTATTATTATTATTATTATGCTGTACAAAATTTCTCAAGTACCCGCGACGGATGAGTCCCTCTATCTCGTCCCGGAGATTATTACAATGTTCGGTACTATGACCGTGGTCTCTATGGAAACTGCAGTACAAGTTTTTGTTCCTCTTGTTTGGGTTCCCTTTTAGGCGAGGTGGCCATTTTACGTACGGGGATCTTTGATCGTCATCAAGATCTCAGCCCGCTTCGCGTTTAAGGATGTGTAGTTCGTCCGAGCTGCTAAGGAAGTTTGGAACGGCTGGCTCGGCTTCGTCTCCCAGGCTGGATCTTTCCTTCTTCTGTCATCTGGGTTGGAGGGCTCGCCTTCCCTCTTCCTTTTCTCGATCCCGCTTTCAGTCATTTGGTTGATCTCCTCCTCTGTTCTCATGAATTTATCCGTGAGCTTGAGGAATTCAGCTACGGTCGCGGGCTGGCTAACTACCATGTGCCACTTGAACTCCTTGTGTGTCACTCCTTTCTTAGCTACCGCGAGCTGCACCGCGGGGTCCAGTCGTGGTATCTGCAAGCACGCATCATTGAACCGCTTGATGTAGCCCCGGATGGACTCTCCTTCCCTCTGGACTACTCCGAAGATACTCTCCTTGGTTATGGGGACCGCTTGCTGGTAACGAAGTGCGCGGTGAAGACCTGCACGAACTGAGCCCAACACTTTATCGATCCAGGGGCCAGGTTCCTGTACCAGGTGCGGGCCACCCCTCTGAAGGTGGTAGTGAAGGCCACGCACATTCATGATTCACTAGCCATTGCCAGGTGCATTTGGGACTGGAAGACATCGACGTGGTCGTTGGGGTCGAAGGACCCATCATACTTGTCTAAAGGGGGGAGTTTGAAATCTCTGGGCATGGGGACTGCAAGAAGTTCTGATGAGAGGGGGGAAGGGACTGAGAGAATAGGGGCAACTTTTACCTCGTCCGAGCTTGTCTCTTCTTTACCTCGGAGCTCGGGCAGGACACGGGTGGTAGTTTGGCGACTTCGCCGGCGTCTTCGTTGCTGAGTGGGCCTGGTACTGGCGCTGCTGGCCTCTGTGTTGCCGAGCTTGATGGTTTCGGACTGTTGGTAGTCCACCGCTAGGACGCTGAATCGGTTCTCTGTGGGCGGGAGCTCAGACTTGGAGTGCTGAGGTGCTGACTTGGCGGATGAGGTTCCCTACCCGCCGGCGAGCTGCGAGGCGGGGGTGATTTTTCTTTCCCCCCCGGCCCGGGGATGAGGCCTGGCCTTTGGGGGGGTTCTGAAGTTGGGAGGCTTCTCCTCGGTGATGGTGTCCGCCCTGAGGGGAGGGCTTAACCGGCTTTGGAGCGGGGTGCCGAGGTGGAAGTTGTGGTTGGTTAAGAGGCAGTTGGGGGAACTGCTGCTGATAGTGATACTGAGAGATGTGGTGCAATACTTGGTGCTGCTGGAGCTGATGCTGCTGGAACTGCTGCATTTGGGCTTGCATTGCCCGCATGCACTGCATCAAGTCATCAAACTGGTTTTGGCTAGTCGCCAGGGGGACAACAGTTGGTTCGTTTAAGGTTGTCTTGACAGGGAGAGGAAGGGGGACGTTCATGGCGGGAAGGTTCACGGGCGCCACTGTTCGTGGAGCATTCAGGCTGGGGATCCCATCCACCGGAAGGGGGATGGTGAACTGTCCGATGCACACCATGGGGACTTGAAGTTGTTCCCCGGTGGCGTTCATCTCCGTGCTACGTCCAGCATTGCTGGAAGAAGCCATGAGTGTTGGGGTTTCTTGGAAAAAAGGGGTTATGAGAGTTTTAGAGGGAGGCTTTTAGAAGCGTTTTCCCACAGACGACGCTAATTGATGGAGCGCAGTCCGGCCGGTCCTAGCTGTCAACGATCTTGCCTTTGGCTGGAGCAAAAGGTGCCTAAAACGGGGAAGAAAGCGAGTAATCTCTGAGGAGGAACCCGGTGAGAGTGCTCTGAAGCTCAAGTTAATATTTTCTCAAAGGCAAGATAAAAAACCAGATGGCGCAAAGTTATCACCTACCTCCTTCTTGGGGGGAAGAGAGCCTTTTATAACCACTTCGTGCACTCACTCCCAAGCTCCTGTCAGGTCGGGTATCATTACCTCTGCACTTCTGCCAGTTCGGGTGTCATCACCTCTGCTGGGGCAGACAACCGCCACTGCTCTCTTTGTCGGAGCCGTCTCTGTGACTAGAGGTGGTGGTGGCAGGTGGCCGTTGAAGTGCGGCTGTCAAGCGTCAGATCCTAAGTCAGTCAGGTGCGCCGCCTCAGGATACGAACTCCTTTGGTGTCAGGTCAGGTACGGTTGTTCAGTTCGGCGGCCTGGAGATGAAGTGCTGGAGTAGTGTGCGATGTGAAGTTTTGAGTTCGGATAGAGGTGTGGCCCGAACTGCCCTGGGGTGGGTCAGTTCGGGTTGTTGCCCTTTGCGCTCCTCGTAAGGCTTGGGGTCAAAGGGAGAGTTCGGGCTCCTTTTAGGGAGCTCGAACCGCTGATTCCTCCTCTCGGAGCTCGCGTCTTGAGCGTACTGCCGTGCCGAGCTGTTGCTTCTGTCACGTGTTGAGTGGTCAAGAGGTCGAGCCAAATCTTCCTTCATCAACTGGCATACACATAAATCAAAGTTCACTTTTTACATTTTCCATATATGTAGAAGAACAAGAGAGAGAATGCTGAGATGGCACCTATGTGACACCATTAATAAAGGTTTGCCGAATAAACGTAAACGAAACCAAACACCCTCTTGATGTTCTCGGTCTACGCTGATGTGCATGTGTGGCGCATTCTGTGGGGCGCCGTGGCGTGAATTCGCATAATGCATTTAAAGCGTCTCCCCATTCCTTAGCTAACAAACTCGGACCCAACCGAGTTGAGTCAACTCAATTCCGAGAAAAAACAACAAGAGAAGGTCAGGGTCCTTCTGGAACAACTGTTCAATGGGAATACTTTTGCCAAATGGAAACATTGTAACCACTTGAGTGGATGACCGCTGACCGGCAAGGACCAGGTTAGTGAGTGGTTAAGAATCAAAAAGCAGAATGGACTTCGCGGCAAAACTGGAAGCAAAAGACAGTCACTCAAAACCTGTAACCTGCAAAATCCGTGGTTCTCAGTTTCAGCCACTTGAACGGAAACTTACCATCAGTCTTGAATCGTTCATGGCTGTTCATTGCAATTCTTTCCTTTGCTCCTACAAAATCAGTACAAGTAATAGACCGTTTGTGTTGCCATGCTCGCCTACCCGTTTTCTTCCTACTTGTTATAATCCAATCCGTTTATCTTCATACAAATCGAGTCTCACAAAACGCAGGTTTCTTTCACACTTCCCTCTCCTTTGCAAGCTCCAATCCTGAATTATATCACAAATCACAATCATTTACAGGTTGGCTCGGGTTGTTTCCGCTGTGGTTTCTGAGGAGAACGCAGTCGGCTCGACTTCCGCCGGCACATATTTGTTCAAGCTCACGTATTTAGAAGTGGGTTCTTCCTCGTGGTAATCTGGGTTTTCTTTTTTAATACTGATTTTTAATTATTTTTCTTTATTTTTCTGCAGGGTAATAGCTGGTTGTGGGATGTTGGTGGAGTGAAAATTCTGGTTGATCCGATCTTGGTGGGTAACTTAGACTTTGGAATTCCATGGCTTTACGATGCAGCCAAGAAGGTCTTAAAGAATTTCCGGGTATGTTGTCTTTAGTCACAGATCCCTTCTCATTGCCTTATTATTATCACTGTATAGGGTTTAGCTCGTGTGTTTTGCAATCAATAAGCTTCTTTTCATTGATTGGCAATTATAGTGCAGCTTAGTGATCTTCCTGAAGTCGACTGCTTACTGATCACACAAAGCCTCGACGATCACTGTCATTTGAAGACATTGAAACCGCTCTCCGAAATGTTTCCAAATCTGCGAGTAATAGCAACTCCCAATGCGGAGGCAATGTTGAACCCCCTTTTCAGCAATGTGAGTCGCACCTGTTTCATCTTAATTGTTCCTTGATCCTATAGGCAGCGGCTATGTTATGCAAGTTATGTGTAAGGTTTTATAGGCCAATGCATCCGGCTACGTACTGCGTTATCCCTGTTCCTAATTTTATAAGATCCAGAAGGCAATGCTCCCCGAGGAACAACCATCCAAAAAAAAAAGAAAAAAAAATAAAAAAATAAAAAAAAAAATCAATGAACTTCTGCTGGTGTCTATGTCAGTGGCATTGAATCCCTTGGCCCAAATGTTACAGGCTTATCTACTGCTGCAAAAGCACTACCTGTGGGTTTAGCTAGGGTTTATTTCTGAGTTAGCATTGGATGTCCATAATCCATTTAGTCCTACGGCCATTACTCAATGTTGTTCCCGACTATCCATGGACCATGGTTTTGCAAGCAGTAGATTGGATAAGGGCCTAACATTCCGCATTTTCTTGCATGAAGTGGTTATTTTAAAAATGGAATTGGCAGCCCAAGTTTTTATCATTACACCAAGCAATGGCTCTTTCTCCTATATCTATACCCTAATTCATAGCCTACCAAGTTGGAATTATGATTAAGAGTTTCTAATCCATGCTGGTAATATTTATTAGACTGTGGTTATGGTTGAGTGTGCGTGATCCATACAGTCCTCTTGAATTCCTGGCTCTTTTTTTATGCTTTTCTTCATATAGAAAGGATAATTTTTAAAACTTTTATCTTTATGAAATATGTAATTTTGTTTAATGTTATTTTAGTTCATTCATATTTCTTCTCCTAAGTGTCTTTTTTTTTATGCTTTCTACTGAATTGGCAGCACTATTTTTTTTTTTTTTGAATTAGATTGAAATATCCATGTCAGATGGGAAGTTAATGTCACGAACCCACTAATGGGTCCATATAGTTGGGGTAACGTTAGTTGCGTTGTTAATTGTAAATAAACAAAGAGTCAGCATGTGTGAAGTGAGAACAAATCTGTAGGGGATATGGTTACAATTGGTTGTTGTGTCATGGGCTGGTTAGAGGCGTAGGGGGTCACAAGTAGTGAGTAGTGGGTCAATCACGTCTTTGCAAGAAGTTGTTAGTTTGAGGTTGGGATAAGTGGGTCAAGTTGTTACTTAGTTTTAGGGGCCAAGTCCTTAGGAGTCGATTATTGTTAGGAGGTCATTTAAATTGTAATCATCATCTTACTGGGAATCATCTGAATTTACACTTTCTCAATTGAGATTATTTGGAGGTTCTTTCGTCTCCCTCGAAGTAGACGAAATCCCATGTTACATCCTATCTGGGATCGTAACAAATGGTATCAGAGCCAGTTATGATTTCCGGTTTTGAGCATTGGCTTGCACAATTGCAAGGAAAGATCCTCTTGTTTGCCATTAACCAACAGTGGATGATGGAGTAGATGAATCACATGTTCGAAGGTTTTTTGGCAAGATTAGACCGATTCGAGTATTCACAAGCAAAGGAAAAGGGTGAAGTGGTTCACCCTTGCCGCAACTATTAGCACGCTACTGTTTCGGTCATGGAGACTGAAGGAGCAGTTGCTACGGTAATTACTAACAGTTGGAAGATCTTGTTGCTGGATCAGTCTTTCACAGGGTTTATTCATAAACCACTGATTGCGGTAGGGTTTTCACAAGAAAACAACGTGGATGAGGCCAAGGAGAAAGGCGAGTCATTGAGAAGCTATTGACTTCGAGTGATGTCAATAATAGTGGCGGGTTTTCAATCCCAAAGTTTTGTGTCAATTCAATCCTCCCAAACTACAAGGCAGAACCACCAGGGTAGACAATTCCAATACGAGATGTGAATGGAGTGATTGGGGAGCTCCGGCCCAATTATTGTGGGATGCCATGTCCGCAATTGGTGACAACCGGGTGGAGTAAGTGCATGAATCCTCACAAGATTGTTGTTGGAGATTTTGTAATTTCCATGAAAAATTGGACCAATGGTAGTATGCGATGGAATTCTCATGTAGGGATTGCGGCTATTACCAATGTGAAGGGGGAGGAGGTCAATGAAAACCTTAATTCTCATATTCCATCTAGTCTTGTCAAATCTGCTAACATTGGAGTCTACCCTATGGGCAACTCTATTTTTGAATCATTGAATCTATCTTGGAAGTCCAAAATATTACACCATGATGTGTGGAGTCTCTTGCAACCATCACGGGGAAGACTGTAGCATTGGGTTGTTGATGCAGATGCAGAGCCTAAAGCAGAAACAGAAACCATAGCAGAGGACAGAAATCTCAAATTTCCATCCTTTTCATGAGAACAGTGAGAGAAGAGGGATGGGGTCGCTAGCTCTTCGACCTTCACTAACATCTGAACTGAGTCATATTCCTACATTTTTTACATCCCAGAACCCTATCCATGGCTTCAAAGGTGCTGTCTCTAAACCCAAGAAACCATCATCTCCAAAATGGGTGTCGATGAGGTGTAGAAATGTTTGCACATTCCATGGAGCTACAAGGGAGTAGGGAGGATGGCCATCTCTATCTTACTATCGATAGGTATAAGGGTTCAGTCCAATCAAACATACATCAAAACGAAAGGATGTTTACTCTTGAACAATTAACTACAATGATGCATGGTCATGGTGATGACAAGGACGACAATGGAGAGGTCTTCCTCGACGAAGATAACATCATCGGTGAAACCATGGTTGACAAAGAGGATCATCTTGATGTGGAAAATGAAGCTGGCCTAGATGCCAAACCATTGAATTTTATACGGTTGCATGCATTCCAATGGATATTAAACTTAGGGGTGAGCAAAAAAAAAAAAAAAAACCAAAAACTGAACCGAAAATTCGGTTAACCAAACTGGCCGGTTCGGTTTCGGTTCAATATTTTAAAAAACCGAAGGTACCAATTCGGTTTCGGTTAACCAAAATAGAAAACCGGTGGTTAACCAAACCGACCAACATACATATTTTTATATATATTTTATGTATATTTATATTATATATATATATTATATTTTCTATACATTATAAATTAATAAATATGCATTATGTATATAAATATATATATATATTTATTATATAATATATTATTTTTTAAAATTATAATATTATATATATATATATTTCTTGTATTTTATTATATATTTATACATTTTTCTATAATAAATATTGTAAATAATAAAAAACCGAAAAACCAACGGTTAACCGAACCGGTTAACCGATCGGCTTCTGTTCGGTTTCGGTTACCGGTAACCTTGGTTCGGTTTCAAAAATTAGCCCACTGTTCGGTTAACTGAACCGTGAACACCCCTAATTAAACTAGTGGCACCAAGTGGAGGAGATGATAGGATTTTCCCATGGGAGAATGAACCACTTGCAAGCACTAGCATGAGGTGTCCCTCACTTCTACCTCGAGCAAGGAAAGCATGTATTTAATTACTCAGGGTTGCATGAACCAGTCCACCTTGATAGCAGATGGCTTATCACAGGGTCCAATCATGCTTGGATTACCAGTTCAGAAGCAGTTAGGTGTAAGGAAAGTGATGATCTTGATGCCTATTTACAACTTGCGGTACAGGTCATTTTGTTGCCTTTCATGTGCCTACTTTTTGCCATTTTTCTCTCAAAATGTGCAGCACCATTGCATGATGCTCTTTGGTCAATGTCAAATGACACATGGAGAACCTACATGACCATTGGAAGTGTGGCAGCTTTGCAGGATCGTAATGCTTCTGTTGTCAAGCTTCAAACTTTTATTTTGGCAGAATCTAATACCAGTATGCTAAGAGAAATTTTGAGTTGTGATCATAAGGAGATCTTAATTGCAGCCTTTGAAGCATTGAAAAGTCTAATACATGGCACGTATCATTGGGCTGAGTTGGACTTGTTAAAAACTTTGACCTTGAGGACAAGGACAATTTTTAAGGGGGTGGTGGGAATGTGACAAACCCACTAATGGGTGCATATAGTTGGGGTAGCATTAGCTGGGTTGTTAATTGTAAATAAACAAAGAGTCAGCACATGTGAAGTGAGAACAAGTCTTTAGGGGATATGGTTATAATCGGTTATTGTGTCATGGGCTGGTTAGAGGCATAGTGGGTCACAAGTAGTGAGTAGTGGGTCAATCATGTCTTTGTAAGAAGTTGTTAGTTTGAGGTTGGGATAAGTGGGTCAAGTTGTTACTTAATTTTAGGGGCCAAGTCTTTAGGAGTTGGTTATTGTTAAGAGTCCATTTAAATTGTGTTAAAAGTCTGTTAATATCTTAAGTTTAGTACCACAGGGGTACTTTGTACGTCCTCTTTTATTTTGTTTTATGTCGCCCTAGTATAAATACAAAAAGATGGTGCCGCCAACTTGACTTTTGGCTCTCAATCTCTTTTCTCTCCTCTCTCTTTTCTCTTCCTTTCTTCTTCTCTTCTAAATAATATGGCATCAGAGTGGGACTATCAGATCTGAAAGGAGAGATTGAGCAAGCCTTTTTCTGTCTCCTCTCTTTGCCAGTTACTGTTTGCTTTATTGAAGATCTAGAATACAGCATCGGACTGAAGTACCTTCTATCCTTTCCTCTCTTTTTTTTTTTCCTGGTTGTGTACCAGGACAGAACCTGTATTAGGTTCACTTGTTTGATGTGAGGTGATCAGCACCTCTTTCTTTCCTTTTTTATGGGATTGGTTGATCCCTGTGATGTATTGTAGGTCGGTGTGACCTTTATATGCTGCGACAACAGCCTTATGATGGGTTTGTAGGTCAGGGAGATGACCTGTATGTGCTGCGACAGCAGCCCTCTAATTTATTGTCAGCTAGTGATGACCTGTTAGTGTCGTAACAGCAATTGATTTATTTCTTTGGTGATTGAAGAGCTGAGTTTCAAAAAAAAGTGGTTGTCTCTAGTCTCCTGGTGCAAAGAAATTTTTTTTTTCAGCAGTTAGTCAGCATGTGAAGGGGAAATTGTGTGGACTAGAGACAAAATTTATCTTTTTGGGTGTTAGACTGCACTATTTTAGGATTTTTTTGTGCCTACTTTGAGTG